CGGAATTACCTGGGAATCTTCAACCAGAGCACCCGCGTGCTGCTCGTGAGAGATCCCAGATGGGCATGAGTCTCCACCTGCACCCCAAATCCTGAGTGCTGCACCCCAAATTCTGACCTGCATCCCAAACCCTGAGTCCTGCACCCAAAATTCTGTCCTGCACCCACTGCTGCATCCTGAGTCCTGTCCTGTACCCAAATTCTTTACTGTCCCATACCCCAAACTCAAAGCTGCCCCCAAACCTCAACTCCATCCCTCGTTCATCACCACATTCCTGTTCTACACCCTCTCCCCAACTCTTCCCCCTCTCCCACCCCTGTCCCACCCCCCAATTTATCCCCTGTCCCCTGTCCCTGATTCCCTCCCCAATCCAGTCCTTCCCCGCAGGCCAAGTGGGCGGCAGCAGCAGAGGCAGCTGGTGGGGGGCCAGTGGAGTTGGAGGTGCTGCAGCCCCTGAGCCTCCTCACCCTGGACACGCTCCAGAAGTGCATCTTCAGCCACGAGAGCCACTGCCAGGAGTGAGTGTCGCCTGTCCCCACTGATCATCCTAGAGTGCCCTGGTGACCCTACCATTGTCCCTGCTGGCCATCCTGGTGGCTGTGCTGGCCCTGCCATAGTCCCCACTGGCCATCCTGTCCAATCACTCTCCCTGTTGATCATTCTAGTGGCCCCAATGCTCCTGCTGTCATCCATGCTGGTGGCCACAGTGTCGCCCCATTGTCCCTGGTACAGGCAGCCCAGTGAGTACATCCAGGCCATCCTGGAGCTGAGCTCGTTGGTGGTCCGGCGCCAATTCCAGCCACTTCTCCACCCCTGGTGGCTCTACAGCCTCTCCTCTGATGGCCGGCGCTTCGCCCGTGCCTGTGCCACGGTCCACACCTTCACTGCTGATGTGGTGCAGCGCCGGCGCCAGGCACTCGCCTGCCTGGGCCACCAGGCCTGGCTGGATGGCCACCAGGGACGCAGCATGGACTTCATCGACCTCCTGCTGCTCACCAAGGTGGGGCTGGGCTGGTGGTGGCCATGGGGACATGGAAGTGGTCAAGAGAGTGGTGGTGGCCATGGAAGGATTGGCCATAGAGGTCAGTAGGATGCTGGTGGCCATGGGAGGCTTGGGCATAGACTGGTGGCCACAGGGGAACAGTGGTGGCCATGGGCAGCATTGACCATAGAGCTGGTGGCCAGTGGGATTGTGGTGCCATAGGGTGGTGGCCATGGATGGGATGTGGCCCCAGGTGGCCCACAGACTGGTGGCCCCAATGGCCTGTGGCTCACCTTGCCCCTGCAGGACGAGAATGGCCACACCCTGTCGGACGAGGACATCGCGGCTGAGGCTGACACCTTCATGTTTGAGGGTAAGCACGAGCTCCGAGGTGCCACTGGGGAGGAGCCACTCCAGTGTCCCCTCACTCACCCAGTGTCCCCACAGGCCATGACACCACGGCCAGTGGCCTGGCATGGCTCTTCTTCAACCTGGCCGGCCATCCTGAGCACCAGGAGCGATGCCGCCAGGAGGTCCAGGAGCTCCTGGCTGGCCAGGACACTGCAGACATTGAATGGTGAGATGTCCCCAGGGCCACCCCGGTCATGTGGCTTGGGAGCATGTTGCCACCCCCGCTTGTCCCCAGGGAGGACCTGTCCCAGCTGCCCTTCACCACCATGTGCATCAAGGAGAGCCTGCGGCTGCACCCTCCTGTCACTGCTGTGTCCCGGCGCTGCACCGAGGACATCCCCCTGCGCGATGGCCGTGTCATCCCCAAGGGTATGGCATGGCCAGGGTGTTCTCAGTGTCACCACCCACCCTCATCTGCTGTCCCTAAAGTGGCCATTCCCATCCCACCAGGGGTCATCTGCCTGATGAGCATCTACGGGACCCACCACAACCCAGACCTCTGGCCCGAGCCTGAGGTAGGGCCACCCTCTGAGGTGTCCCTGTCACCATGGTGGTGACAGCTGTGTTCCCTCGGTGTGACTGTGTCGGTCTCACCCCAGGTGTTCAATCCTCTGAGGTTCAGTCCGGAGAACAGCAAGGAACGGTCCCCGTCATCCTTCATCCCCTTCTCTGCTGGCCCCAGGTATGTCCTGGAGTGGGGACAGGAGTGTCCCCAAATGTCACCCCTGTCCCTGGCTGGGTTCACAGTGGGGTGACAGTGACAGTGGGGA